TTTGTTTTACTTATTTTTAGGTATTAAAAAATAATTAGGAGAAGGAAAAAAAAGTTGTAAATTAGAGCCTGGTAACAAGTAAATGATAAATGTACTAAACACTCATATATATCTTTGTAAATCTTCGTTTTAATGTACGAATTTTAATCTGTATGAATGTAAATTTAGGCACCTAAGCCAATAATCTAAATAAAATTAAAACATGATGTGAATGTTTGAGGGTAATAAGGCAACATGAGGTGAACATCAGGCTGTAAAATGGCCTCAGGTTCTGACAGAGTATTAGCAATCTGGAACTAAAGGGAGTCTCTGCCTACTCAGATGGTCTCTGGAGCATGTCTCAGACATTTACGTAGTTTTTTTTCAAAAGAATGATGGTAACAAGACTGATGTAAATTCAATAAACACAAAAGCACCCAAATCCCAGTGAGAATATTTTCGCTAACACAAGCACTTCATCTTTGACTTCAGAAATCTGGCTCTCAGTGGTGACCAAAAAAAAAAAAAAAAAGAGAGACAGATAACTAAAATTTGTAATTCCCCTGGAAACTATTAAAAAAAAAAAAAAAATCATTCAACTTAAGTATCAGTTTTACAGTTCATCTCTATTCAGCATTCTTCAGATTAAGGTCACCACAAGTTGCAGATATAACTATTGATAAAATTAATGTAAGCATCTCAGTCGACTTTTTGAAAAGTAACATTTTTTCAAATAAAGCACTAATTATTTTTTGTCCTCTGCTAAGATAGTAGTAGAGAGCTACTTTACATATGTTATAGATAGATTATATAAAGCATGGAAAATGCTGAGTAACTCACATTGAGGAAGGTTAAGAGACACAGGAAACTTGAAACTAAAAAGAGCCCCTTTTGTCACTCTTTCAGAAAACTACTCAAACTCTTCCCTTACAATTTCTCATCTTCTAGAACTTCTCATCCAAATACATCCAGTATCACACAATAGCACAGGCAAAGCAATTCCAGTTTCAAACTGTACAGACTGTACAGCATTCCAGATTACCAATTTATAGCCAAAGTAATTCTTTCCATGTGACACACGTCACTCATTTTGCCAATTTCTTTTTAAATTAAGTTAAAAATTTAATAGCTATTCATTTCACAAGGTGAAATACCTCTGAACTTGATCCTACACAACAGGCAGGGGAAAACCAAGAGGTTCTCCATTCTGTAAGGGGAGAGGGAAGATAAAGGAAGCACAGGCAAAGGGAAATGGCAAGTTGTACCAGGGTTCAAGGGCACCTAATCACAGTAAAAAGCACCAAATGTCACAGCAGAGTCAGGGACCCAATACACATAGATGTGCCATTGCACATCTATTACTACGCTGTACTATCTATTTTTGGACTTGCTGGATACCAGGGCAGACTTCACATCAAGAGGAAACAGTTGCAAGAGCCGCAATAATATTGGTCCATTTGGGAGCTAATGACACAGAAGTCAACGGAAGAGCCTGAAAACAAAGTTTGAAGAATTAGGCAAGAAAACTTCACTACACAGAATAGTCATTAAGTAGGTGTAGCAGTCTCAAATAAGGACCTATTGCATAAGAGATCTATGCTTGCATGTTACTCTTATACTTTCACTTGCCTGTTAAACACCCACAAGCTGTAACATTTTATCTGCATAAGGAATCTAAATTTGTCTTTAAGAAGTTTTGTAGAGATTTCTATTTTTTTTGAGAAGTTACTTGTTTCATTTCTTGCCAACCAAGGCAAAAAATAAGCCCTTTACCACAAAACACAGTGGGTAAAGGAGCATTCGGTAAGAAGCAAAAATGGATGGTGAGGGTTTTATTTCTGCTTCACTTGCCATAGGGAGGGGAAGAGACCCGGGAAAACTGAGGCACTCAGACCATGAAGATCTGTAGGGGAAAGTTGTGTGGCTCTCTTCTATAGAGAAATTTGAAATATTTTAAAGGATAAAAGTTTAAACCAGCTTCTTTACAACACTAAATTTGGGGCACAGAGATGCAGACAGCTATTTCATTTTAATCTTGCTTCCTCTCTAGCAGTTCCGGAGCTGGTTTGTTAGCACATAACTACCACTACGCTAACCACTCCAAGTACTTTGGCGTTCTCAGGCTAACCTCTCTAACAACTGCTAGCATGATCAGTCAGACATGGAACACCACCCCTTACCAAAAGCTGTCCAGGAGGGGCCAAGATTACACCAGCTTGAAGGCCAAAAGCCACTTCCTGACAGGAAGTCAGACCCTTTCGGATGCTGGCAGGGCAACGAGGCCACTGCTCATCCCGCTGTTCATGCCCACACGCTCCCTCACTCTGCCAACAGAGAACTTGAGTTTCTGTGAGCAGAAGCTTAAGAGAAAGAGCTATCATCTTCCTTTTTTCAGTTAATGCTTTTGTCCTTGTTAATACCACAATAACCCTTCCCTCCACATTAAAGAGTGAAGTTTCCTATTAAAATTTGTGTATTTTCATTAATATAGTCTACCAGGTAGTTATAAATAATTTTATTTCATCAGAGTTGAATATATAAGTTTTCTCCTTTCTAACCAGGATATAAGCAGGATCCTTCTTCTCAGCCCTGGAGCAGAGCAGAGCCCTTTTCCCCACCCTCCTAACAGAGAGCACATTTTCATGTCCTGCTGGCAAAACGTCTAACCAGTTTCCCATTCTCTTCCTTGGTAAGCAGTAGAGTCTTCTCCCATGAACAGCTGATCATAGGCAAAAATAATAAGATTAAGGTAAAGGTGGGGGGAGAGTACTTGTCACATGTTTACTCATGAGTAAACATAGCTATATGTTTACTATAGATAAATTTAGATTTTGTAAATACTATTATTATCTTGGGCTCACAAAACATAACAGTAATAAGAGGTATGGGGGGAAAAAAAACAACCATAATGGAAGTAGAGGGGTACATGTGTTGAGGAATCAGCTGATGTTGCGCTGAACTTAATAAATATGAGCCCAAGCTGGCAGGAAAAGCACGGTGTTTAAAGTAGTATACAAAACAGTATGAAGGTGCTTAAATTTAAGGACAGAACAGGTGTCCATACATTCTAAGACATGAAACAACCAAAATTGACAGCAACAAAGCACACACCTGATTAAATTATCTCCATGTTCCAATATCAGGCACCTAAGCTGGGAACTTCTGTCTACATCAAATCAAAGGCTAAATTTAAAAAAAATTTAAAAACCAGGTAGGGACATCGTTAGAATATAAGCTGCCTATTATTTTCAGGTACTCATATGACATTTACAAGGGTCATCATGTAAAGCATTCAAACCCTTCATCTGCAAGATGCTGGGACACCTGTCTATTAGAGGAAGCATGCTAGACTTAACGACGGTAGACTAAAATCAAGGACATGTAAATTCAGTTCTGGTTCTGCCCCTGACTGCACACACAGACAATATACATGAAGGTAAGCTGGGCATACCACCTCCTGACCTACTTTAGCTTCTATTAAAACATGACTTGAGGGTCTGCAAGAACATTCTCGTAGAAATCATACACAGGTTTCCTTAGAGCGGGAACTTAATTTAAGGGCCTGCAACCTACATATAAGAAAGAAGATGCAAGCCAGGAGGGAAGGAGATAGATGACCTTGCCAAAGTTACATAGCAGGTAAGTGCTAGAACTAAGAATTTATTTCAGGTCTTTTTTACCCTTGCCTAATGTTCTGTGCCCATACAAGACACGCTGCCCCTGTGAATTTTTAAGAGAATAGCCACAGATGACACAGGAAAGGTGCAAAAGAAATTAAATAAAATGTCAACGACTTTGCCGAAAGCCTCTTGTGGCTTTCCATTTTGTTTAGCAGACAACATTTAGAAAGGACTCAAAACATTCTCTTCAATACTAAAACATCTTACTCAGACATCTCTCTGAAAGCCTGAGTCCTCCTTAACAAGAAATTACTTGCTCCTTAGTACAATCTCTTCAGCTACTTCTGCTTTATCCTACTTGATACCTCCTCTGCTATAGGTGCCATTATTTATTTCCCTTTATCAAAATCCAAAACTGCAACATTCCTTTCTGTCAACATCAACACAATTGCCTTTCTCCAAATGGAAAGCAAGTTACTCGGCATTAACAGATGTCCTTCACCACAAAACTTCTTGAAATCTTCAGCCACCACTACAGACCACCTGAACAGCAATAAAGAAGTGCTGCAACTTTTCCCCACACTACTACTTCCAAGTGGTGTGACAGGCATGTCTCTAGATTTCTGTAACGCACTAAGGCTAGTGTTTTAGTGCAGCTTCAGTAACACTTATTAAGTACAGAGCAGAGACAGTATACGCTTTTCCTCTTCAATGGTGCAGAAAGTACCTTTGAGTCAAAGATGTTTTCTATACCGATTTCCTTCACCACCCCCAACAGTAAGTTCGTTCTTCTTGCAAATCAGAGCTCAGAGATGATTATAGACTTGCTAAACTAACAAAGACAAGTTATTAGGAAATCAACATCACTTATTTCTTAAAAATCACCAATCATGAATTCCAAATGATAAAAATGATTGACTGAAAAGACATTGCTTTTAATTATAAAGATTATATACTCTAGGCAGCTTAACCTACCAGCATATAACTACTCTTTCTTAGCTGATCTTATCCTATGAGATAGTGCTACTTAGTCCATGCTTCATTTGAAATCAGATAAACTTTAGGTTTAGACATGTTTATGTTTTAGATGTGCTTGTTTTTGTAAACACTCATCAGGAACTGGACACTGGAAGCTCAAATGCAGCGCAATTTGCAACTGAGTACCCAAGAACAGTTTTGTGTTACAAATAACAGTTATAATTCAAGTTTATCTCCACTCCCGAAAAGGAGAAAATCACCACTCCTACAATAGGGACACAGCAAGGAACACACTTTCTGGATACATAATGCAGCATGGGTTTCATTTTCATACATACTTGAAAAATCGTAAAGCCTTGTGAAAAAGGCAGAATGAAGAGTTCCGTATTGTAATCAACGTTGAAATAATCCCTGTAACCTTACCGAGCAAAATAACCTTGTCTTCGTTCCTTCTTCTCTTCCTTGGTCTCCATTATGTACAGTCAAATAGGCAAGGTGAACGGCCAAGTGTGATGCTCTTCTTCCCCTCAGAACCTCATATCCAGGCAGAGTCCCCTGTATATAACATTTAAAAACAGAAAGTTCAGAACTGAACATGTCAACAACACCTCCAAAAACCAACAGGGTTGTGGAAATGCAACTGACCCAGTGACAAAGCAAAGTAAAACTTTAACCAGTCAATGCTTGCCATGTGATAGCCATTTAGTATACAATGAGACAAAACCAAATAAATGCTCTCAGGCCAGTTTCTCCACAGAGGAAGAGAGATACTGCAAAGCTGGTAGAGCTTGCTACTGCAAAGAGCAGTAGCAAGTTTTAAAACCCTGGAAAGATGAAAATATTTTGCAAGCTGTTAAATAGTTTATACCAAAACATCTTCCTCGTTTCATGTGTTTTATAGACAGAAAGATCAAGAGCAGCTCTGGAAATATCCAGTACAAACAGTATAACAAGACAGACACATAATGTTCACTTTATTAAAATTGTGTAAAATAGCGAGAAATAAGAAAGTTTTAAAATAATGTAAAGAAAAAAAAGAGTGATCTACATTCTTTACACAGGTTTGACTGTTGTGAACGATACACAAGTTTAAACAAGTATACAGGGAGAAACTTGATGGACCTTCTGCTCTCCAGATGAATTGCATTCAATTTGAGATAGAACAGGACGAGTGAAGGTTTTCTGAGAAGTTTAAAAAAAAAAAAAAAGGAGGGGTGGCGGGGGGAGACCAGTAACACTGGCTTTTGACACAGAAATCACCACCACTTTGCAGAATGCCATACTGAGGCACCTGGAAACCAGGAGTTGGGAATTTCAGAACTGCTTGGTAATTACCGCAATTAACGATATGCCACATAATTGCTTTCCAAGATTCCTGCCAAGATATTTTATCCTCTTCCCCTCTCCAACACATTCAACCCAGCCCAATAGCTTGAAGATATACAAAATAAGGTAACTTCTGAAGAGTTTTTATCAGTATACCAGATTAAAGTTCAAACCAGAAGTTACTACTAAATATTTTAGTCTAATGGGCTGTACAACAAAGAAAGGGAAGCCATGTAAATTATGATTTGTAGCAAAAGAAGAAAAATTCCTCTGGGACCTAATCAGTTCCCATTGTTTTCCCCTGCATTAAAAGATCATAAACTACAAACTGCCATATGTCAACAAAAGAGATAATGTAGTAAAAATAGACTAATCTGCTTGGAAAACCAAAGAACATACCATGCTACATTCTATCAGAAATACTTGCCATAATTTGCTCTCCATATTTATGGAGCCTCGGTCCACAGCAATTAAAGTCCATTGCTTCAAAATGCACTTTTTCTTACTCATTAATTTTGAATACATTCAGTGCATCAAAAAGAATCTAGTCTCTCTGATCTTTATGCATCAGGTAGAGATTTATAGTAATGGTCATTCTTTAAACAGCAAATTTGCCTATGACATCTTTGGCTTTATAAATAGAACACTATTTTATCTCTGCAAGTTAATGCATGTCAGTCTTCAGCCAGACATGAAAACCTACATGTCAGTAGCATAAGAAAAGCATCAAAACAAATTGCACTGCTCAGACGTCCAGTCTGTATGAAGATACCACATACTTCCTGAGAATTTCGATGCATCCTTATCTTTTCTGTTGGAGCAGGTCCTTAGATCTTCAGAGGATCAAAAACAGTGGCTTTGTTAGCACTGCATTTAGAGTTACAATACATCTTTCAGAGCATACAACTACAACCTCTATAGCAAACTACAGGGAGTTCAAAGAGGAACGCCTCTTTCCACTTTGCCTGCTATGCCTTCAGTACACTCTGCGACGTGCAGGCAAGGGCACTGATGGGCCAGAGTGGAGTCCTACGTTGACACCACGAACTATCAAATAACCACAGAGCACCAAGAGAATATTAACTCTATGAGAAGAGGGAAGTGGGGAGAGCCCCTCTCGTCTCACTGAAACATCACCAGCTGGGATTAATGGAAGGAAGCAAGATCTGGCCTCAGGGCCTCACCCTGTGGAATAGTCAGCGGCAAGTTCCTCCCATTCATTCTCTTCCTCTCCCATCATCTACCGACTCCATCCGGGGGAATACCAGCCCTGCCCCAGCATGGTGACGGCAGACGAAGGGAGTGATACTGCCCGGGGAGCCAGGGAGAGAAAACCTCACCTGCCCACAGCCAGGCAAAGAGGGACACGAAGAGAGAGGAGGTAGGGCTTAAGCTTGGACCTAGCCGCAGATGCTGCAAGAGGTGCCAGCACCAAGCCACCGTGGCGTTTCTCAGCTCGCCAAGTGTAAGGTTTGCTGTGTGCTTTCATCAATGCCAAACAAAGCTAGCAGTGACAACGCGGGTACAGAGCCTGTTCTTCCCACATCAACTAAACGCAACTCCAAGTCCTTTCACATGATGAGGGTGAATAAATCAAGACCTTAAAAAAAAAATTATATTCAGAACAGATAAGCACTCAGAAAATTGGAATGTTACGCATAGACCAGAAGTAATAAATGCATTCAGGTGATTTTTTTTTTCTTTTGCTAATCAAAATACACAGGGATCTCATATCCAGTCACCAATTAATTAAAATTTTCACGAAATAAATTAACATTAGGTCCCACTCCGTTGACTTAACACTTATTTAGTTCGCCTTCTTAGAAGAACAAAGGTGGTGTTCTAGGAAGGCATATTTAAGGCTGAAAGTTATACTTTGAAAATATAGTACTAGGAAAAGCAAACTGATTAGGAATGCAGACTTCATAACCTCTGAGTTTACTTTTGTTCTTGGGCTTAAGAAAAAAAAAACAGCCTGAAAGCTGGGAGGATCACAGTATAACCTGCAGTAATTGCTACTGAAAACTAGTATTTCTGAAAGGTCCTTCTCAATTTCTAGTTCTAACAGTAACAGTACAAAAGCCATGTTTATGTTACAGGTTGTCACTGATATTTTAAAGTTACATCAAAAAAAGCAAACCTACTCCACATTTCTCCCCTACCTGTCCTTTGATTTCTCCCCAGAAAGAAACCCCAGGTATTCTTTATTAATATTAACTGCTTAAAATGTTTTTAAGGACATATGATTAAAATGAATCTTCGTTTCCTGGTAGCTCCTTGCTGGTAGAGATGAAGACTGAATCAGGCAGACTATTAAAAATGTACGTATTTGGGGGATATTTATATTCTGGGAGACAGACATCTTACTCATCTACCATGAGTACAGTCCAAACTCAAACGATGACAAAGCTGATTTTACAGAAAGTTCAGACTCTGTTTAACACTTTCTACACTGAAACTGAAATAGACAGTGAAAAGCTTATATATCTACAGCAATGCTAATTCTTTTTACATAATTTCAAGAGGAAAGGTATTCCTGATGGACAAACAATGCATTTAAGTAACGATGTTAAATTTGCCACTCTCCAAATTTATCAGGTTCTGACATTGGCTAATTATACGAAAAAAAGAACAAAATACATAAAAATATATCTCTTTTTTGCTGTTAGTCCTATTCATCTGGATTTTTTTTCATTTATATTAGCATATTTTTGGATACTCGCCTTGTCTGTTTAGGCTTGCTGCCAGGAAGTTTGGGGGATGCTACTGGGAGTTTGTACTGAGGGTAGGAATGCTCCAGCAAGGCCACAAAACAAAAACAAAAAAGAAAACAAAATTTTAAGGAAAAAAAAAAAAAATCACAGGAACAGACTGAACTCCTGACTGTGGGTATCCATCACACTGCAACTGCCACCACCCTCCCAAGACCTCCAGAAATGCTGCTTCCAGCTCCTGCTGCCCACTCTGTCACCTGGCACTGCAGCACAGCAGCCTCCTGTCATGGTACATTCAAAGCAGCAGAAGAGGAAGATGCTCAAAGTGTGAGAATAAACAAAGGGCAAGGGACCTGTGTTTGAGTGGAACATTAAAAATAAGTATATGTGTGAATAAAGCATCCTAAATCCTCTAGAGACTTGGATAAATTTTTCCAATTTATTTAATTTTGCCTCTCTTTTCCGTTCCTTCTCAGGCAGCATGAAGAATAATATACCTTGCTACTTGCAGTTTAAGTAGTTTGCATTTTCATGAGACAACAAAAGGACCTGCCTGCTGCACTCAAGGGTAAGCACCCAGAAATCCTGTTTGCTGGGTCTAAAGCATGATCCATCAATCCTCCAACTGTGAGCATTAATTTACAAAACTGTGCACACAAAAAACAGCACATCCAAAGCACTAGCAAAGCAGAAGCCAATTAATTATCTGATTATTTCTAGAACATTCAGTGGACTCTATAGCTTGTCTCTGGCCATCTCCGCCCACTGCAAGTCCTGGAAAGACATAGATTAAAAAAAATGTTCAAGATCATGCGATTTTCTCTATATATTTTCACAATCCTGTAGAGTCAACACCTCTCAACCCATGAGGTAGGAAAATGCTGTTAATCCCCACTTTGCAAATGGGGAACTGAGCTACAGGAAGTACCTCTACACACTCAAAGGAGAGCAAAGAGCAACGTGGGAGCAACTATCCTCCCACCAGCTTTAATCCAATCAGCCCAAATAGCCAGCAGCAATGAAAGCAAGGAAGGAGATTAATTTGACAAGGAACTTGTTATTATTTTCCATGTAAAATTTAAACTGACAAACTTTGGAGATCCGTAACACAGTCTCACCTTTACTCGGCTCTGCGGGCATATGCATAGAAATTAAAGCTCAGATCCACGAAAGAAAATAAAAAGCCCAACTCCCCTGAGGATCTAGATTTAAATGGCACTCTCAGCTCCTTCAGGAAATATGTGAAAAAGCAATTAATTGAATTTAGGGAAACCAAGTAAAGGGTAGTATCCTGTACCTTAGCAGGGGCCCCACAAGGCAAGCGATCATGTGGAAAACAAACATGGGAGGTGAGAGGTCTAAGCACAGATTTTCCAGAGTTAGGAGGACGGAGCAGATTAAGGCAGAAGACTCCCAGTGAGACAGCCAAGCGGACACGGTCATGCCATGCATGTAACAGGGAGACTCCGCTGTGCCAAGTGAACACGATGCTGCCCAGACACACCAGGTAGCTCCCATCTGCTCTCTAGTGCAGCATC